CTGTATACAAAAGCATCTTACAACCAGTGTTCCCTCTAAGCTGAGTTAGTGTGAGCTAGCTCTCAGTTTTTTAGCCTCCAGCTGACACATTTTTGTCATACTCAGGAAGGGATGGCTCCAGAGCAAACTAATTTATGCAGCAGCCAAATCGCTTGCACACAACTTCAATGCCAGTGGCTCACAAAGCAGAGTTTTAGCTCACAACACTCCACAGCTTAGAGGGAGCATTGCTTACAACGGCAGGCCACCCTGTGAGCTTCCATAGCTGAGCGGGGATTTAAACCTGGCGACACAGATTCTAGTAGGGCACGCGAACAACCCCACCTTGATTCCTGCAAGTAATACTGTAAATGTAGTCAATGTGACTATCCCTGAACTTCTGGGGAGGCAGGGAGGAGTGTTGAGTGATGGTGCATTGTCTAAAGCGGGGGCCCCCAGCATGGTGCAGGTGGGTGTCATGGTGTTTTTAGAGAGCAGGGAGGGCCAAGTGGGACCTCTGCCCAGCAAGGCTTCTGATTGGCCACTGGAGATTTGATTGGTTGTACAGATTTTTAAAAACGCTGCTTTGGCAGCAACTGCCACTGCAGCACAAGCATCTTCACTGTGTGACTGAAGGTAAGCTGCAGCAGTTTGTGGCTGGCTCCGCCGCCCACCACCTTGTATCACAACTCCAAAGGTACCCACAGGCTCAAAAATGTTGGGGACCACCTGGGCTAAAGTGAGCTCATGGCAGAGGTGAGATTCAAACCAGGGCCTTCCTAGTCCATACCTACTGATGCCACATCAGCTCATAAAGGTGTGCTGGAAAATGTTATTCCCCCTCAAAGAGCTCAGACTCTGGATCCAGTGCTGTCCCTTAATGTGAAACACAAGTTTCCAGCACACCGTTTCCAGTAATAACCCCTGTAAGTACTGCATTTCTGCTAAGGTGCTGTTTACTTGTTTCCGATGGCAAAAATTTATGATTGATTTGAGGTTCCAAATCAATGTTATTATTTCCAAAAGGCATTTTGGAAGCCTTGCCATTTCCGACATTAGTGGAGCTGGTGAAAAAGGTAACAGGCCTTGTAACATAGCAGCGTCTGGCTGGGGGGCAAGAGATTCAACAGAACGAGCAGCCACAGGTTATAGAAATGTTTTGATAACACTATGTATGTAATCAGTATTTCATGGAATTGAATAAGAGACAAATGCCTACAGTAAACATATGGTAGCTATTTCGAAAGGTGTCAGCTAAAAATATGATTGTACAATTGTAATAATTTGGGTTCGCTTCTAAGAAAATTGTTCTTTTGGGTTTGTTTTTAAGAAAATTGTTCTATTGATTTAAGGTAGCAAACAAAGAACTTCTTGGTCAAACAGAACACACACTGTGACACGGGTCTTTTAAGCTTATTCTCCTTCTGCCCAGAGTATCTATTTTAAAAGATTTCATTTGTAGTTTTACAACAACAGAAAACGGGACTAAAATTGCTCCACCACTGGGGTATGTCAAATGCTCCACTAGTATTGATCAGCACAAAATTGTTTCAGGTCGGTCCACTAGTCATAAGACAGCTGGTTGGGGTGTCTGCTGGGGGAAAAAAATAATTGTTTAATGAACCGGCTTTAATCAGTGTGATAGTTCTGATGTTTGTGTTCAGCAATAAAAGACAATTACAGAGTTGCTCAATATGAAACAGAAAACTGCTAATTATTTTATAACCCGCAATTTCCAACTTCTTGCTCAATATATGAGAGACATTCAGAATACAGAATCGCTGAGTCGCACGACCTGGACCCACATACCTGAAGGACCATCTCTTTCCATGTGTCCCTGGGCGTTAATGATGGTTACCAGGCACTCATCTGTTGGCTATCCCACCACTTAGGGGGGGCTGTCTGGCATCGACTGAAAACAGGGCCTTTTCTATTGTGGCTCTGTGGAAGGGGCTCCCTGATAGAGGGGCCCCCTCCTTGGAGGTCTTCAGGAGGCATAGCAAGGCCTGCCACTTTGCCAGGGCTTTTGAAGGGATATCATGATCCTAGGCCTGTAGTAGTGCAGCCTATAGGCTCTAGGGGGGGCCTAGAGCAGTGGTGGCGAACCTATGGCACGGGTCCCAGAGGTGGCACTCAGAGCCCTCTCTGTGGGCACACATGCCATCGCCCCAGCCAGGCCCAGACCATAATTAAAGTGTCGAATTCTCTGCCAAATAATTTTAAGTAAATGAAAGCATTTGGGATTGCTTTCCTTACTTTGTTTGGATCATCTTAAGTTAATGTATGGGTTGTTTTTTCTAAAGTAAAACCTCAGTATTCAGATTAAATGGCCATGTTGGCACTTTGCAATAAATAAGTGGGTTTTGGGTCGCAGTTTGGGCACTCGGTCTCTAAAAGGTTCTCCATCACTGGCCTAGAGGCTCTGGGAAAGCCTGTAGTGGAGTGACTACTGGGCCTACATTTCCCAGGCCACCCTCTGGACCCTGTGATTGGTTAACAGGGGATTTGGAGGGGAAATTTACATCAGCAGAGGAGTAGGAGGTAGTGCCTGGGAAGACGGAATAAAAGTCCTGGCACAAAGTGGGAGGGAGGTTCACTCCCAGGGAGCAGGGATGGTGAGGCTGCTGCAGAAGGAGGGATCCCTCATCCAAAAAGGGTGAGTCAGTCTGAGATCAAGCACCTAGAGAAGGCACCAGTATAGTCAGTATAGTCAGACACGCTAGGGTTTCTTATTCTGCTAGTTTACCTACCTTTATTGAGTTCATTATTCTACCAATTATTTGAAAACCAGTTGTTACCAGACCTCTTAAATAGAACTGTTTATTATTCCGCCTGGTTCCTCACTCCTCATTCGGTCACATATAAAGTAAAACCTACTGGGAAGGAGAGGACCGAAGGGGTCGGTTGGGAGCTCTGGCCCCTCCCAAGGAGGCCCGTACCAGAGTGGGGGCAGCCTACAGAGGGCTTCCCTGGTCCCCTGCTTGTGACAAGGGGTTTGAATAGCAGGCATCTTTTAAGGGGAGGAGGGATTTGGGGCTTGCCATTTTATTTCTGGTTTTAGCGAGGGATGTTTTAACTGGGGATATTTAAGTCCAGTTTTCGCAAGAGTGTTCTCTTCGTTTCCAAACACTGGGGCTGAGGTGGCCAACGTGGATTTCTCCCCTCAACCAGAATACGAGATCAGCCCAGAGACCATGGCGAAGTGCAGAAATCCTTCTGAATTTGCTTTATTTGTATGCCACGTACTACCCCACTTTCATCAACCAGCCCAGCTCATTGAGTCCCCAGGCATTAATGATTTCAGAATCAAGGTTCTGAGGTTGCTCCTAGCAACCTTGTGGGCTTAAGAGCCTCTGCCTCAGTCTAAAATACTGGGGGGTACTGATGCAAAAACAAAAAATTATTAAAACAAAGACAGATGATCACATCGGTTTTGAATACACAGCTGCTATAGAAATCAAGTGATGTGCAAACGGCAGAGTGACTGCACCCCTGAGGTCCATGAACACCCTCGTTTCACTCTGCGTGCCTGAGGGTTATTGTGTGCTTACCTTTATCCAGAGATACTAGCATGAATCCCACTTTCATTCTACATTATGCACTAAATGCCTGGCCTTGGATAAAAGCACTTCCAAATGTTGTGTTCAAGTGAAACCTGGAGGGATGATGATGATGTGTGTGTGTGTGTGGGGGGAGAATTTCCCTCTATTTATAGTTCTTTGAAGGAGACTCACATACAATATTCAGTTAACACAGTGATGGCAAAAACCTCCCGGGGTCTCGATAATCTTCTTCAGATTTTTTAAAAAAGTGATAACTATTTGCACAGTGCTGCATGTCTTCTTTAAGGAACTCCTTTTTAATTGCAATGTAAAAATTCTGACTTCTGGATACAACAAGAATTGACTCTGGTTTTATATCATTCCAACAACAGTCTTACGTAGGGGTTAGAGCACGGGTCTTGGATTGGGAGATCTGGGTTCAAATCCCTGTAAACCTTCAGGAAGTGTCTGTCTCCACCTCATGGTCTAAGGTACGTATACCACTACAGACTCATGAACACATGGCAGCTGCCTTGTACTAAATCAGACCATTGGTCCATCAACACCAGTATTGTCTACTCAAACTGAAGTTTGAGTCCAGTGCCACCTTTAAGACCAACAAAGTTTTATTCAAAGTATAAGCTTTCACGTGCATGCACACTTCTTCAGATACGGAGTTCATGCACATGAAAGCTTATACCTCGAACAAAAATCTGTTGGGTCTTAATGGTGCCACTGGACCCAAACTTCATTCTGCTGCTTCAGACCAACATGGCTACCCACCTGAATCTATCTATGCAGACTGGCAGCAGTTCTTCAAGGTCTCAGGCTGAGGTCTTTCATATAACCTACTGCCTGGACCTCTTAACTGGAGATGCTGAGGATTGAACCTGGGACCATCCACATGCCAAGCAGATGCTCTACCACTAAGCCATGTCACCTTGGGAGAAGGCTGGGATGTAAAACTTTGCTGTGACAAAATGATTCAGCTGTAAAAATCACACACATAGAAAACACCCAAGATGTGAAAGGAAAGTTTCACACAGAATACAAAAATATGGGATATTCCCACAAAAGCAATCAAGTGATGGCTAAACTGAGAGTCTCGAGATCCAAGGGACAGCTTATGCCAACCTCACTCACCTAAGTTTCCGCTTTTGGTCCTGAAAAAGAACATGTGCCTGTATTGCTAGAGCTTGACGGATCCATTTCCGCAAGCTCAGGAAAACTGACACTAATGCACTACTAAACTCAGCCCCCCCCACCCCCCCACAACAGTTCTCCTTCAAATCCAGAAAGCAATAAGACAGGCAAGCATGCAATCCCCCCCTTTGCACCAACATTCAACCATTTTAATTGTTTTATCAACTTGTTGTAACCCGCCCTGAGCAGCCCTGCATTGCAGGGGAGGGCGGGACAAAAGTCCAACAAAATAAATAAATATGGCACTAAGGTTTCAAATGGCATTCCCTTTCTCACCTCGAGATTAAAGGCGTTCTCCTCCATCTTCTCCACCTCTGCTTCAGCCAGGGGATTCTTCAGGTTCTGCAAGAACAGGGCAGCCTTCCTCTTCCGTTCTGCCTGAAGCTGCTTCTCCTTGGATTCCTTGGAGGCCTGGGCTAGCTTCTCTCTGGCGGCGGCTGCCAGCCTGTCCTCTAGTTTCTGTTTGGCTGGGAAAACAAAAGAGGGAACCAGGCGGTGAGTTTAGAAAGGGGGAAACAAAGTTTGAGTCCGGTGGCACATTTAAGACCAACCAAATGTTATTCAAGGTATGAACTTTTGAGTGCACGCACGCTTCCTCAGATACACTGAAATGGAAGTAAACAGTCCATACATATCAGCAGAGGGTGAATATACAACAAAATGAAGATGTTTTAACAGCTGCCAAGTTCAAACAGGAATAACAAGCTAACCTTATATGGCCACCATTTGTTTGGATTTAATTGGGAGAGGGAAACACAGTGAAGCAAATAAATATGTCAAAATAGACTGATGTGTAAATGTATCCTTCTTAATTGTGGAATGCTGATTGTAATTAACTGAGACCCTGTTGTTATGCTCCATTCGTCTCCTCTCCTTGAGGTACAAGTGAATGGTTGTGCAGTGTTATGTCTCCTCTGCCACCAGATGAGAGAAATACATTCCAATATTCATTGCATTGCATTACAATTACTATGCCAATCTACTATTAGAAAGGGGGATTAACTTTTCGGCTAAACTAAAGAATCTCCACTTTTTTGGGGGGGGGACACCGCAATGAGGTCGAGAATTGTTGTTGAGAGGGCCTAGTTCTTCAGATACGATGAAAATGTAGCAAACGAGGAAGTTGAAAGCTAAGCTCTCCTTTTCCAAACTGTACTCGCTAGGCAGACGAGTAATCACTTGCTTAAGTAACTCCCCACACCCAAGACAGCCTCGGATTTACATCTGATCAATTCTTTTGGCTGAACAAGTTTGTTATAGACTTGCCATACACTAACAGGCAAGGCAAAGCTGGATGGGCCACCTCCAGAAACGTGAAGGCCAGGAAACCCCTGGAAAATACCATCTCCCCCCCAAGCAACCTTGTTCAGTCTTTCCAATGGAAAAAACTGTGGAACTCTTTATGAAGCAGTTCCTCTTTTGGAATGAATGGAATGCTTTTAAGACAGGGTTTAATTCATTCAAAATGTGTAGCGCGAACATTTGTATGTAAGGCATTCTAAGATAATGCTCCTTCCTATGCATACTGTAGATGCATACAGCCTGTTCAAGGATATCGTTACTGTTCAGATTTGAATAACTTTGGCAACACTACGCTACAACGTGTTTGATCCTATATTATTCAGTGACATCAAAATACATGAATCCTATTGTGACTATGAGGCTGTTTACCTCGGAATAGTTTACTACAAAACATGTTTTATTATAGAGAAGCCTTCCCCCACATGTTCCCCAGAGAGCACTACCGTTAGGGTCGCAAAATCGTTTGGCCCTCCCTGGTCCTAGGGATGCCAGGCTGGTATCGACCAGGACCAGGGCTTTTTCTGTGGCATCTCTGACCTACTGGAACGAGCTTCCGGATGAGACCTCTCACAGTTCCGCAGGGCCACGAAAACGGAGCTCTTTCATCAGGCATTTAGGTAGGAGCTGTGTTACCATCTATGTCCTGTGTTAATCTCCAGCCTATCTCCAGCCTATGCCCACCGATAATGGATGGACCATTAAATAAATAAAATGCACTTTATTGTTGTGATACCGTCATCGTTGTTAACTGTTTTTAATAATTTGTGCATTTTACACTGGCATTTATATTGTTGTTACCTATTGGTTCTTGTAAGCCGCCCTAAGCCTGCCTTGGTGGAGAAGGCGGGGTAAAAATCAAATAAATAAACAAACAAATATGTCAATATTTATTTTTCTTAGCTATGTTAACAAAAATTAAGACATGGGACAAAGTAGTGGAGGGTGCAGCGGTTTACCCTCATGGGGTGCCCTGTGTGTGCAGAAAATGGTAAAAATCAAATAAATAAATAAACAAATATGCCAATATTTATTTTTCTTAGCTATTTTAACAAAAATTAAGACACATGTGACAAAGTAGTGGAGGGTGCAACTTCCCCCTTTTGTTTTATGAGACAAAAAAACCTTTGTGCTCACACAGCCATTTCCCACAGAGCAGTCCAAGCTAAAGAGTACTATGGTCTTGCCGACCTATTCTCAGTTGAAGATACACTTATGCTGGAAGCGCAGAGTCAATAATGTGGAAGACTCTTCAGCAGGGCAGCTGGAATGCGAAGTGCGCCACTTAAAATAATGGAGAAACTCTCCCACAGTACAGTAATTAAATTGATTGGCAGAACAATCAGAATAGGCGAAAGGGAAGCCCTACATCATGGAACACAAAATCCCTCCATGGAATTTAATCCTGTGCAACAGTGCGGTGGTCACTATTTCTGATGGTTTCCCAAGGGGATTAGACAAACTCAAAGGGGATACGTTTACCCACCACCAGTGTCCCCTCTAAGCTGAGTTAGCGTGAGCTAGCTCACAGTTTTTTAGCCTCCGGCTCACACATTTCTGTCTTAGCTCAGGAAGGATGGCTCCGGAGCGAACTAATTTGTGCAGTGGCCAAATCGCTCGCTCAAAGCTTTAATGCCAGGAGCTCACACAGTAGAATTTTTGCTCACAACACTCCACAGCTTAGAGGGAGCATTGCCCACCACTATTAAGATCATGTCAAAATGGAACCTCCGTCGTCAGACGGAGTCGGCCTCTGGATGTCAGTTGCTGGAGGGCAGTAACAGTTGGAAAGCTGCCACTTTTATGTTCTGCTTATGGGCAGCCTGTTCCCTGCAAGGGGGGGGGGGGAAATGCCGGACCTGATCCAACAGGCCTCTTTTGTTTTTCAAGCGGCAGAAGCCCCCAAAAGATCACTGGTAGCTTTCTCGAATATGCTTAAATCCCACCAACCTCAGCAGGATCCCTTTTTGACTCAAGTTGCAAGAAGGATAGCTTGAATGCTTTCTGGTTCAGTGGTTACCATATTTTGAAAAGCAAAAAAGAGGTCATATTTCCCAACTTGACTACTTCAAACAAGTGATCACAGAGACAAATGTCATTTTAAATACCCCTACTTTTTAAGCCGTGATAATTGCTGCTAACTATGAATATTCCTAATCTTCCAACCGAAAAAGAGGACATTTTTAAAAACAGCCAAAAAGAGGATGGATATCAAAAAAGAGACAACACGTCCTCTAAAAAGAAGACATCTGGTAGCCCTCTCAGCTGTGGAGTCCTGTGAGCAAAAATTCTACTTTGTGAGCTACTGGCATTAAAGTTGTGAGTGAGCTGCATAAATTAGTTTGCTCTGGAGCCATCCTTCCTGAGCTAAGGCAAAAATGTGTGAGCCAGAGGCTAAAAAATTGAACTAGCTCACAGTTTTTTAGCCTCCAGCTCACACATTTTTGTCTTAGCTCAGGAAAGATGGCTCCAGAGCAAACTAATTTTATGCAGCAGCCAAACTACCTGCTCACAACTTTAATGCCAGTAGCTCACAAAGTAGAATTTCTGCTCACAGGACTCCACAACTTAGAGGGAACATTGCTGGTAACCCTAGGTTCACATTCCTTACTGATGGGGGTCTTTAAAGTGTTCCATAGGTTGAAGGTACCATTGTGTATGAATGTGAATTGATAAATCTAATTTGGGACACCTTACAGTTGGCCATGGATAGATACTAATATGTACAAATTCCCTAGAAGATAGTCAAAGTTTCCCTCCTTTACTCCCCCAAATAAATAAAAAGGCGACATTTGAACTGGAAAGAAAGGAGATGGTTTCACAAATGCATTATAAGGGAATTAAGAAAATAATCCAATTGTGCCAGCATTATTACTACTCATTTTTACAAGTGAGATGACACTACGTGCAAAAGCTGAGCACAGAAACAGTCAAACATTTTCAAACTTTTGAGCTCACAAGTAAAATATGTTGATTTTAAAATAATTCTTCCCAATTGAATTCCTCAAAAGTATTTCATGCCTTTTGATTTCATAATGCTCACTTGCAATCAGGTATGCATGTTTCAGTTTTCTCATTTCTACTTTGGTTAATGCCTTCGGGGTTTAGAACACATTTGAAATGTAATTAATATGAGCATTTTAAACTAGTAATCTCTGAGCAGTTCAAATTACACAAAGACTTAACTTTAACTGACACAGTAAAAAGCTAACAATTCCTTTCATTGTTGTTTGTCTTTTAAAAATGTAATTTTTTATCACAAAGGTTAACAAATATACTAAAAAATTATGCATCAACTTTCAGAATGAAAGAGCAATTCCCCCTGATGTTCAGCAACTTTTCTTTACCTGCAGACATGGAATAATACATTCAGAGCTAACTATGAGACTCAGGAACCTGACACTCCAACTGATACATCCTGTAGGATATTTTTAAAATAAATAATTCCATTTGGAAACAGCTTCATGACTTTTTATTAGCGGAGAAGCCCGTTTGCAGGAACTGAAACACATCCTCTACAACACCATTATGAATTCATCAAATTAATGTTTTATCTGTTACTGAAATACACACGTGCATGCAGATTAAATATCGCTCAAGATTTTTCGAAACCTGCCGACAAAGGAGAACTACTGTTGCTATCCTGGCGGCAACACTTATTTGAACTCTAGCATACCAATTACCAAGGGTTTGTGGAAGATATCCTTTCTAAGTATCCAGCAAACTTTAAAAAATACTGCTTACTTAAACCTGGGAGCTAGTGCGGTTTAAGATCCATGGCACAGGGACTTGCCTTTTCCTGCCTATGTTACAAAGCATCCTGGTACAGGTGGCACACCGTTCACAATTTAGCCTTAAACACACTACAAACTGTCAGGAAGGAAGAGTTGTGTCAAGTATACAGGCCATAAGCCATTTAATGCTTAGACACTCATCACTGCTGGCATGGAAGAGGAAGCTTCTTTCCTTGCACCCGCAATGGCTGTAGCTTAATTGTACAACAGACAGCAGAAAGAAACGGGAAATTTTCACACAACTGCATACACATCCCACACACGGACTTTTGCTTGCACTGAGATAGTAGACGTCTCTTTTGTGAAGCTTCAAATTGTCAAGAAGCACAAGCCTTATCTGATGGGAGCCGGTACAAGCGATGCCAAGTCACCACAATCTAGGTTTGGGAACAGCAGAACCAAAAGTATCCCTGGGGTACGCTCTAGGGCAGCGTTTCTCAGATTGGCATCTGGGGATCTGTGAGGGTCCACAGCAGGCGAGCCATACTGGCTCCATCTGGCTAATGTGACAATGGAGCGCCCTTAGTTCCTAGGAATGGGGGCAGGGAGTCTCCACATCAAGAGAAAGGGATGCGAAAAACTTCCCTCTTTCTAAAGGTGGAAGGCCACTTACCTTCCAGATCACATAAGAGCACTAGCCAGAACACGGCACTGACTGGTTGCTGAAAACCAGCAGCTCTAACTAATTGAGCAGCAGGACAATACAGTTCTAATGAAGTCATCATAGTTACTTCCAACGCTCCCTCTAAGATGAGGAGTCTTGTGAGCAAAAATTCTGCTTTGTGAGCTACTGGCATTGAAGTTGTGAGCGAGCGAGCGATTTGGCTACTGCATAAGTTAGTTTGCTCTGGAGCCATCCTTCCTGAACTGTAGGCTAAAATCTAAAAGCTAGCTCACACTAACTCAGCTTAGAGAGAACATTGATTACTTCTGGTATAAAAACCGGTTTTCAGCCTATTTTCTGATACGAAGAATTCTGGCACACATGCCACTCTGCATCCACACACACGGACACAACAGTGGTTTTCAATTTAATACCGAAAGCTGAGGTTTTGTGTACTGTCGATCTTTTCTATGTGCAGCTCTGAAAGATTCTACGGGCACTTTCCCCACCTCCCTTTCGGTGATCTTCGTTTAGAAGTTATGAACTAATACGGAAGCTGACTGCTGTCTCCAGCATGCGATTCCTTCCAATTAAGGGTGACAGAGTAGAATTTGGGGTCCCGGTCTTTTGGAGAGCCAGTGCGGTGTAGTGGTGAAGACTGTTGGATTAGTATCTGGCAAATCCATGTTCAAATTGCCACTTGTGCCATGGAAGCTCGCTGGGCAAGTCTGGGCCGATCACGCTCTCTCAGCCTAACCTACTTCACAGGGTTGTTGTGAGGATAAAATGGACGAGAGGAGAATGATGTAAGCTGCCTTGGGTCTCCATTGGGGAGAAAGGCGGGGTACAAATGAATTAAAATAAATAATAAAGCATGAGAGGACTGGCCCTGAAGTTTATATGCATCCAATAATACTGCTCGTAAAGTGCTATGATTCTTACTGTTGTTAATATGGCAGAAGTGTCCTTGGGATGTATGTGGTTTGTACCGTGCACTTTAAAAATAGACTTTTCACCATATTTTGGGTGCTAGCAAGGAACGAAGGGGGAACCTTGGAGTTCTATGGAAATTTTTAAATTAAAAATGGGGTCCTGAGGTTTGATAACTGCTTCTCTAGGGATAGTCGCTGTCTATAAGGAGTGATCCTACCCCTGCAGAGTATGATTTTCTTCAGTCCTGCTGGGATTTGGCCTCGTTCAGAACACCACCTCCAGTTCTCATCACAGAGACCGAGTGAGCGGAATAAGGTTCAGATTAACATTTTTTTCGACACAAAACTGGGACACACCCTTATTTTTAATAAGCTGGCACCATTTACAACTGTCACATACTCTGCATCTCAAACCACGTCCTTCCCTCACAATTTGTTCTTTCTGGTTGATGATGAAAGCGGGCAGCCTGCTACAATCAGCTAATATGAGTTTGGGCATCCACGGCTTCACTGTTTTTGCTAGTCTAGAAGACAGCACACCTCTGCCTCCCAGATAGGCCTCCCCAAGTTTGGATCACACTGGCATTGTGCGTGTGTTTAACTGCGGTCAGTTCGCTTCTGACTTATGGTGACCCTATGAATTAACGTCCTCCAAAACGTCCTCTCGTTAACAGCCTTGCCCTTGTCTCGCAAACCGAGGGCCCTCGTGGCTTCCTTGACTGAGTCAATCCATCTCGTGTTGGGTCTCCCTCTTTTCCTGCTGCCTTCGACTTTTCCTAGCTTGATTGTCTTTTCCAGTGACTCTTGTCTTGACTTTGCGGGAATCTGAAGTCAGCATCTTTCACCGACAGCTATATTAAGGTAGGTGCCCCTAAGACAGGCTGCCGAAGCGGGGGCGGTGGTGGTGATGAATTTTCCTAGAGCCTGATGCTCTCGAAGGGAAGCGGCAATTATATTTCCATTTGTTAATTATAAAAAGACCACAACACGCATGTATCTGACTGTGGAATGGGAGCTTCCAGGGCAATTTTCAGAGCGCTTCGTTGGCAGAAGCATTAACCACAACACTAGGACCACAGCCAGACAACTGCTTCGATGATCACCATCTTTGCAATTCAGCGCTCCGTAACAGAAATTCAAATGAGAGGGGCCTTTGCAGCCCAATTCAGCCCTGAACTTAATGGTGCACGCTTGGGACTGATTCTTGGGGTGCTCATGAATGCAGCATGAAAGGGAGGTAAGCTCTCATTCAAGACTGCCCCCTTGATAGCCAGCGGGACCCCACCCCCCCGAAAATCAGCACCCCAATGTTCAGGACAAATTTATGCACTGTGGGTAATTTGTTTCATGATCAGCCAGTTTTTTTTTTAATGCTACATTTCCATTTTCATATGTTCATAAGCATCTGGTTAAGCGATACAGTGTGCTTTAATGATACTTATGAACGTACGAAACTGCCTCATATCAGATTATTGGGTCTATCTAGCTCAGAAACGGCTATTCCAACTGGAAGTTGTTCTCAAGGGTACCAGGCAGAAACAAACAGATTCTCCGAGAGATCCTTTAAGCAGAGATGTCAGGGATTGAATCAGAAGAAGAGCTGGTTTTTATACCCCGCTTTTCTCTACCCTAAGGAGTTTCAAAGCTGCTTACAATCGCCTTCCTCTCCCCACAACAGGCACCTTGTGAGGTAGGTGGGGCTGAGAGAGCTCTGAGCCAACTGTGGCTGGCCCAAGGTCACCCAGCAGGCTGCCTGTGGAGGAGTGGGGAATCAAACCCGGTTCTCCAGATTAGAGTCTGCTGTTCTTAACCACTACACCACACTGGATCTTCTACAAGTAAAGCATGTGCTGTACCAAGGAGCCATGCACCTAAATAAAGCCAGCTTTCGAAATATTAGGCTGGTAAGCTTTCTGTAGAACTGGACATGATCCAGGTACGTTATCTTTCCAGAAGTATATTTTTTACCTTGCTTGGCTTCCAGCTCCTCCTGTGTAAGCTGAGGCTTCTTCTCTTCGGCAGCGTTACTGGACATGGCAAACACTGTGCTGCTGTTGGATGTGCCGTGCGCATTCTCATGGCCTTCCTTGCCTTCTTCCCCCTCCTCATCACTGTCATCATCAAGTTTCACTCGATTTTTCTCCAAGGGAAGCATGTCATTTTCTTTGGCTCTGATTGCAAAGCTTATTGGTGCAAATGATGCTATTAAAAAGACAGGGAGTAAGTCATGATACTGTTAACGGTAGAATTTTTACTGATTACTGCGTGGCTAAAGAATTGGGTAATGGGGAGAGGCTGGTAGAATCAGGAATTATCACTGATCTCCTATTGTTTCTTAAAATGATGGTCTTAAAACTGAGAAATTAATAAGGAGGAGGGAAAAGAGATAAATGGAGAAACCTGGGAAAGGTTTCCTTCACCCATTTCTGTAAAATAAGAATTGATTCTTCGCAACCCCCCCAGCATCCCTCCTCTTCTCTTCAGCACCTGCTGAAGACTGAATGCTCTACTAACAGCACCCATTCTTTTAAAAGGGAGACAACTTCTTAAGTAAACTGGTATTTTTGTTAAGGAACAAACAACATAAATCGACACTAAGACAACTCTCTCCAATAAGTTTTAACGGTTACTTAAAAAGAATGGAAGACAAATTATCCCCTCCTCTCCCGAAGGTACATCCCAGCATGCCCTGCAAATTCTGTGCTGCTCTGGATCTCAGATTCATTGCCCATCAACCACTACTAGCCCTGGGGAGTAAAAAGAACCTCCACATTCAGAGGTAGTAAGCCTCTGGAACCCAGTGCTAGGATGCAACGTCAGAGGAAGGCCTTCACCTCTGTGCCCTGTTGGTTGGCCCTCCAGGGCAACTCGTTGATGGCTAGTATACTGAGCTAGATGGACCACTGGTTTGATCCAGCTTATGAAGATCTGAAGCTAATAACTGCTAGAGACTTGGAAGAGTCATAAAGGTGGCCAGAGGATGGGCGTCCTATGGAAGCTTGCACACCATCACATGGCCTGCTAAGGGAATCCTCTGGCCCCTGCTGCTTGCCATCCTCATCCACCCTCTCCTTCTGGCTTGGAGGGAATGCTTGGGTAAGTGCATGGACCAGTGACGAGGAGGAGGAGCAGTAGCCACCACATGATGGGCTTGCTGGCTCTCTCCTGCTACAGATGGGAGGAAGCTATTAGGTACGGAAAAGGCAATCAAAACAGTAAAGGAGCACCGGTCTGCGCAGGAGCAGAGTGCGGCACTTCCTGGCAAAGGTGGAGGTGAGAAGAGCCCACTGAAGCCCTCCCCCCACACAGAGCCTACTCTGCAAAGTTAGGGCTGGGATTCGCAAAAGGCAGATATATATAATTTTCATCAGAATCCCAAATGGGAATCAATATATGCTTTTAACAGCCCTACAACTCATGCTAATTTAAGAAGCAGAGAGGCAGCGCCACAAAAATGCAAAGTGAAAGGCGCCGTTTGTGTTTAGGTATACGTAGCTCAAAACACAAAAAGACCTGATGCAACTACGGCAAAAGTTCAGATTGTATGATTTAAAAGGTAATCAGAAAAGGTTATCTGTCAATTGCTGGCACTGCATGCTTGGCTTCAGCTCTTGCCTCTATTGTGAACCGTCACAGTTTTGATTCTCTGTTGCTGTCTTGCCCGTGACTTCTCCTTTTGTTTTGGTTCTATTGTAAACAGCCACCTCAGTGAAACACCTGCCTCTCTGACTCCTGTTCTGGCTACGGATGAGTTAAGAATTAAGCTCATTTTTGCCAGACAACATCACTTGCTTGCTTTACAGATGTAAGTAAGTGTGGCTTTAAGCCTTGGCCATATGTACCATGCCTGCCTCCAGGTTCGGGAGAAAGAATTATGAACTGATAAAAGGTGTTTAGAATGGAAACTTTACAGAAATGGTAAGCAACGAGGACATTGCTAACACTTTCATCTATCATTTCTATAGCACTTCTAAAGTGCAACTACTGTTAAAATCTTTGCTTTGTTCATCCTTGCAATAACTCTCATGCAAACGGAGGGAGCCCAGTCAGAAGCTGAGGCAGAGAATGGTAGATTTGGAAGCCAAAAAAGCACATGGTATAATTTCTACTGCTGAAGTGTAAACTGGTGTGGTCCTGGAGACAGTCTTGATGGGAGGAAAGCTGAGAGCTACAAGCAAGCAGCCCTTTGAAGAAAGAAGACGGTACAAGCAGGAGAGGTTTTTATGGGGGATTATGGTTCAAAGAGAGTGCTGTGCCAGGGTTCCTTTGAAGTGACAGTGAAGGATTTTAAATTTCAGGTAGGGTAATGCCATTCACATAACACGTCAGTGGCTCGACTCAGGGCCAAAGTATTCAATATGTTTGTAATGAGCCGGGTTTGGGCTGTCTGGATCCAACTTACTTCAGGGAGCATCTTTTTGAGATCCATGGGATCCCGATTTGGCTCGGGACCGCAGCAGGGGGGAGGGAAAAGGGGCTCCTGCCCCCCCTTTCATTTTCCCAAACTGAAAAGGCCCCAGTGGGGAGTTATCGGAATAACTTTGGAGCGGCATATTTTCAGAATACGCCACATCAAGCTGCAAATCTATGCCAATAACTCCCCACTGTGTAAGGTGGGCTCTCTCACCAAACTCATGGTTGCCCTAACCACACTTTAGAACCTAAATTTATTTTTATTTTATTTATTTGCAGTATTTTTATCCCGCCCTCCCCACAAGCAGGCTCAGGGTGGCTTACATTACTTGGCACAATGTACCAAGTGCATATAACACAATTAAAACCATTTAAAATAATCAAACCGATTTACAATTAAAGTGCTCACAGTGTCATTAATTCAAGATGGCGTACCATACAGTGTGGCATCCAAGTACCCAGCTTAGCGGTCTCCCAGCATATCAAGCTAATATGGCTCACTTTCAACTACGGCCAGCCCAACGCCACCGATATTAATAGTGGACATTGATGGTAGTGGTGGAGGGTTCCTAATTGAAGGCCTGGTGGAAGAGCTCCGTCTTGCAGGCCCTGTGGAATCTTGGCTCTAGCTTCCAAATCACGAGGTAGAGCTATTTATTCACTTTTATTTTCCATTTTTTTCCAGCATTTATGGTGCAGAGTAGCTGGAAGTGCAACGATGGCTATACCAATGGTTTGCCAATTAAAACATCACAATGAAACGCGGTTTGCATAAACTATGGCTTGCCCATCCAGATTGCAAGCTACAACCACTGATAAGCTTCCTTAACCACAGTTTGGAGCGATTTCTGCACTGAGCCAGGGGCTCTGCTGGAACCTGGATTCAGTCTTCCCATATCCACTTCCCAGATGAAAGTCACTCTTCTGCTGCAATATAATCTCTGTAGTTACTCAATTTCAAACCCTGAATAAATCCATTTCTTTGCTATAGCTACAAACCGAATAATGTAATGTCTTCTCTTCACAGCTGATTTCTCTTTTCAAATGCAGCTTCCTCACTCTGAATCCCAGTTTCCTCACCCTTCTCCCTAAATCTGATCGCTCGCTCACCAAGATAATTTGCCAGGCTTACACAGTAATACTGGAAGACTTCTTTTAATCTACAGGAAAATTAATTACTTGGGGGGGATTAATTACACTTCAGAAAAGCAGAATTAAATACACAGCCCAGGCATTCTCTCTATGTGCAATGTTTCAAAGCTGTCTGGTAACTGGTACCAACTGTTAGCTGAACATTTGTTCCAAAGACCCGTCAAAACTGATGAACACCAACTCCAAGTCCCGATTCTTTTATTTTAAAAAAGCCCATCAATTTTACGCAACCGTTTCACTCCAGATTACATAAGCACTAGCACAATTTATTTGCATAGCTGGACAGCAAAAGCCCCAGTACCAGATAGCAGTGGATCAAATATGAAGATCCTTTTACATGCTGTACACTGCACTGGTCAGACTGCACCTGGAATACGGTGTGCAGCTCTGAAGACCTCAACTTCAAAAAGGATGTGGACAGAATGAAGCAGGTACAGATGGGAGTGACAAGGATGATCAGGGGCCTGAAGACCAAGACCTATGAGGAAAGGCTGAGGGACTTGGGAATGCTCAATTTGGAGAAAAGGAGGCTGAGAGGAACATGATTCCTTTCTTTAAGTATCTGAAAGGCCATCATTTAAGAGAAGGGCAGGGAGCTGTTCCTGTTGGCAGCAGAGGTCAGGAGTCCCCAGTGTTCCCTCTAAGCTGAGTTAGTGTGAGCTAGCTCACAGTTTTTTTGCTTCCAGCTCACACATTTTTGTCTTAGCTAAGAAGGATGGCTCCAGAGCAAACTAACTTATGCAGCAGCCAAATCGCTTGCTCACAACTTTAATGCCAGTAGCTCACAAAGTAGAATTTTTGCTCACAAGACTCCACAGTTTAGAGGGAGCATCAGGACTCACAATAATGGGTTTAAATTATGGGAGGAAAGGTACTGGATGGATGGTAAGAATTTTTTTAAAAAAACAGTAAGATGCTTGGGGAGGTGATAAGCCCCTCCCGGGGGGGAGGGGGGCAATCTTCAAGCAGGGATGCTTTAGGCTGATGCAGCATTGAGCAGGAGGTTAGGCTAGATGGCCTCTATAGCCCCTTCCAACTCCATGATTCTGTGATACCCAGAGTCAAATATTCCACAGAATATTACAAGGAGACACACAGAATATTACAAGGGTCCTTAAGCCTCCCAGAGTGCACTGGATGGGGCACTGATATCACAAAGCGTTCCTTGTGAAACAAAAACAGGTAAGATGTTCACACTGATTATACTTAGAAGGTATGGATCCAAGATAAGAAGCCTTTCTTAGAATAATCAGGAATCTGTTCATCCTCCACTACTCAAACTCTCCATATTCGTCCCCCCGCCCCGCCCCGTTCCATGCAATTGCACAACAGGCATCGTCAGTTCTCCTCGCAAAGAATCAGGTGACTGGAATGCATGCAACAATTAACATGCAAGATGTCTGCTACCTGGATTGCCCGAAAATCCACAAAGAAATACTAAGAAGGGGGAAGAGAGGAGGGGAGAAAAGGCAGCTGTGGGGCTTGGCAAGCTGTTCTATTCTAGGCTCTCCTTGTCTCACATTCTAAACTGTTTACCTGAACATTGAGCCAAAAGGCTCTTGTGGCATTTAACATGCAAGTTTGGACATTTAATAAGACATCAAAGCTCAAACGCCACAACCAAGAGCAGTATACGAGCCCTATCCTCAGCCATCACCCTGTCAGACAAATGGCTTCCTAAGAAGGAAAATATTTTCTGCACAGCCTCAACTGTGCAGGAGGGAGTACTAATCCACTCTTCTCAATTCATGCTGTGATTCTATTTTAATTTATTTGTAACTTTATTACACTTATATCCTGCCTTTCTTCTACCATGAAACTGAAGGCATACCTCGTGTTCCCAGGCAGCCTCCCATCTAGGCATCGACCAGACCCAGATCTGAGCAGCTTCAACTAGATTATGGTACCTTGTGCTTTCAAACCATACCCTGGACGGCTTATGCTAATTTACAGGGAGTAAACCCTCGTGAACTAAGTGGGACTATTTGTAAAAAAAACACGCACATAAGAGTGGGTTGCACAACTGACTAAATGAAACAGTTCTTTATGTTTACCCATGCTTTACTGGGAAGAGAGGGGAAAACCGGCATGAAACTCACCATAGAATACACATTTCTTACTTCTCATGAATTCTTACACTTTAACTGCCCACAGGTGAGCAACAGAAATCAGGGAAGGGGTGAAATTTGCAACTGATCATTTTTCTTTTCCCTTGAGCACTCTGATACGCGCTCAAAGACTCCTGAAGTACTCTGCAGTACGCTTTAGATATTGGAGTCCGAAAACCCAAAAAGTAAGCAACATAAATCTGAGCCACCGACATCTTTAAAAAAAATAAATCAAATGGTTTGCTTTAGAGGTTTACCACTAGCTTTTAGATGAGTCCAAGTATCCTGTGACCAGCTAGTTATAGTCTGGTCTATATGTATAGAAAAGAGAACAAAAAATACAGAGACATTTGGATTCTCCCAATATCATCATCAACATACCTTTCATCAGTTTGCCATCACTGGCAATTTTGCTGGCATCCAGGTCGTCTTTATTATTCCCTTGGCCAGCAGATTCTGCATCCTCAGATACAGAGTCGTCAGGAAAATGAGCTTCTGCAAGTGGGGCACTGACAGGATCGGCAGGGGCATCCTCTGATGAAGGTATTACCTGCTTCAAGACAACAACACAAAGATATGCGTCATTTCCCAACTGAAGCAAAAGCCTATGACACACTATCAAGACTGCTGACACTTAAAGCTGTAATGCAGGCTTCTCCAACGTGGCACCTGTGAGCACTGTGGTGCCCGCAAGTTCTTCCCTTGGCACCTTCCAAGCTTTTTGGAAAGGGGACGGGCCCACTGTAAGGCAGGGCTTATTATTGGCTTGTTCATTCAAATGCGTGGTTCACGCTCCCAGCTTGCACTGAAGGTGGGTGTTTTGAGATGCCAAGGCTTGCACCCAGAACCCTAGAAATATGAATTTCTCCAGCCTGTAAAACTAACATGGTTCCATGTAGACAACCACAAAAAATCCAGAAAAACAACTCTCCTTTTACCATGAAACTACTACAAACGACTGGCTGGTTTCCAACTTCCCATATCTGGGCAAGATAATTGAGAGGGCAGTGGCTAATCAGTTACAGGGTTTTCTGGATGACAACCCCCTTCCAGTCCGGCTTTCGTTCATGTCATGGCGTGGAGACGGTACTGGTCACCCTCATGGATGATATCTGACGGCATCTGAACCAAGGTGGGATGGCAGTACTGCTGTTATTAGACCTGTTGGCTGTGTTTGACACGGTCTACCACCATTTACTGATTCACCGCCTTGCCGACGCTGGAATTCAGGGGCTCGCCTTACAATGGCTTGCCTCCTTCCTCCAGGGTTGGGGACAAAGGGTGGTGCTTGGGGAAGAACTGTCTCGAAGGCACCCGCTGACCTGTGAAGTGCTTCAAAGCGTGGTCCTACCCCCAATACTATTTAATATCTACATGCGCTCCCTTGCCCAGATTGCTCGGAGCTATGGACTGGGCTGTCTCCATTACGCTGATGACATCCAGCTATATCTGTTGTTGGGTGGCCAGTCAGACTCCAGGCTGGAAGATCTGGACCTGGTGTTACAAGCTGTGGCTAAGCCGAGACAGCTGAAACTGAATCCGATGAAGACAGAGGTTCTGTGCCTAAGTTGCCGCAGCCTGGGGGTAGGGATCTGACTTCCAACGTTTGATGGTGTGCCATTGGAGTCAGTGCCAGAGGTTAGGAGTTTGGGGGTTCTCTTGGATGCCTCTCTAATGATGGAGGCCCAGGTAGCAGCCACTGCCACATCAGCCTTCTACCATCAGTGGCAGATCAGACAGCCAGTTCCCTTCCTTGAACGCGGTGACTTGGCAACAGTGTTTTTTTTAACATTTATAATTTGATTTATATCCCGCCCTCCCCTAAGGCTCAGGGTGGCTAACAATTGGGGCAAAAACCATAATTAAAACAAGATAAAAACATAACAATAGTACGACAAAGTGCTGATGCTCTGATGTTCCAAGTGCTAAGATGGGTTCCGGTAGGGTGGATCCGGACCAACGACGTAAGTTCTAAAGCGGCATATAGCCAGGCTTCTTCCCAGGGTCTGCTTGCACCCTGATGGTATCTCTGCCAATTTTCGGTGACAGTGCATTGATGGAACAGTACTGGCGGCGGCTCCTACTCGAAAGCCTGGCAGAAGAGCTCTGTCTTGCAGGCCCTGTGGAACTGCGCAAGATCCCGCAGGGTCGATCTCCTCTGTGAGCTCATTCCACAAGGTAGGAGCCACCACCAAAAAGGCCCTGGCCCTAGTCTGAGTGAATTTGATGTCCCTGAGGCCTGGGGTAGTCAAAAGATGTTGGCCCCCCCGACTGTAGTGCCCTTGGGGGAACATATGGGGATCCCAGTAACCCATGCAATGGTCATGTCGAGACTGGACTACTGTAATGCTCTCTACATGGGGCGGCCCTTGTCACAAATTCGGAAGCTGCAGTTGATGCAAGATGCAGCAGCCAAGCTGTTGCTGGGTCTCTATCTGAGAGAACACATCCAGCCTGCGGTGAAAGCGTTACACTGGCTGTTTCAAGGTGCTGGTTCTTACCTATAAAGTTCTGGGACACAAAACCTCCTGGTTCTCCCTGGCCCTAAAGACTGGCCATCACCAGGGCTAGAGCCTTCTCTGTGGCAGTGCTGCACTGGTGGAACGAACTCCCGGAGGACATCAGGGCCTTGCAGAGTTTGCTACAATTCCGCAGGGACTGCAAGATGGAGCTCTTCCGCCAGGCATCTGACCACATTGACCACATCTAACATGTGGTAAATCTGGTACAACAGGTGTATCTGGTTATAACATCAGAGCCCTCCCTGGGACCTTGCCATCGTCACTGTTGCACTGACTGACTCCTGTTACAAAATATTGGATATGGCAATATTGGAATATGTTCACTGCCGCATAGGAAAACTTGAATGTATAGCACTATAGTTTTATACTGGTTTTAAATTGTTCTAAAACTGTTTTAAATATTTTAAGTAAGCCACCTTGAGCCTGCTTCGGTGGGGAGGGCGGGGTATAAATCCAATAAATAAATAAATAAATAAAAAATGAATGAATGAAAGAAAGAAAGAAAAAGTACTATAATTCAGGCCTCCATGTAATCCATCCTGAAAAGCTCCTCTTGGGGGAACTGTCACTACTTATATCATTTCAAAGCACCTTTATAAAAGCTACTATACATACTCAGATCAAGACTGTAACCGCTTCAAAATGGGTTGAAGAAATACGACTGGATGCTCCCTTCAAATCAAAAATGCCCTGGAAAACTAGTATATCACAATGACCTGATATAGAGAATCATGCTCTACAATGTGCTAGCTTTCTGTGTGCTATTGGGGGTCCCAATATGCAATTCCCCACTTGAATTTACAGAGGTTAGCATCAAAGGAGGACTGAACTGTGTACCTTTCCTAGATATGCAACATCACCAGAAGAGTTAATTCCTATTGCGGGGCGAGATTTCAGAGTGTTTGCACTCGACTTTAATTAAAATCCTCCAGGTTGAATATCTGATTATGTATGTGACAAAGGCTTCAGTAGATTGTAAGAGAAAAACTGTTCTCTGTACCACAGTGTGCATTAACACATGAGACTGCCTTATATTGGATCAATGCCCCATCAATGTCAGTACTGTCCATTCAAGACTGGCAGCAGCTAGCCAGTCTCAGAAAGAGGTTTTTCACATCGCCTACCACCTAATCCTTTTCACTGGAGAGGCCAGGGATTGAACCTGGGACCTTCTGCACATCAAGCAGATGCTCTGTCACTGAGCCACGACCCCACCCAAGATGCCTGTGCAAGAATGATCAGACCGTTGTGTCTTCATAAGCTAAGGAAAATAAGATATGTCGCACTGTTTTCCTTCTGTACAGCATTCATGATGGAAGCAATTTGCTTTGACTGGGAAAGAGAATACAAAGCTACTTCAACAGCTGGCTCAACAGCTCCTACTTTAATAAGGATTTACAGGAACAACTCTAATCCAGGCAAGTCTTTCAAAATCCCCCTTCACAATATTCACAGCATACCTTCTGGGGAATGCCAAGTAAAGAGTGCTATAAAGATCAACCGATGCAACTTCTGGCACATCACACAAGCCAAGGGCACGGAGTGAGTTTGATCTCACCAGATCTCAGAAGCTAAGCAAGGTGAGCGCTGGTCAGTATTTGGAAGGCGGACCACCAAGGAATACCAAGTTTCGTTTATTGTCTTAGCCATTGGCCATAACAGCACAAAGTAAATCGAAGCACAACAGAAATATACATCAATAACTTGCAGTAAGTTCTAGACCCCGTCTTATCTTTTTTGCCGCCAGTGCAAACAAAGCCATTCTGCTAGTAACATGTGCATCAGTATCAGAAAGCAAGAACACGGTCAAATCCTGCTCAGCAGTTCCATTATACAGAGGTACAATAGGATAAATAAACCTTTGCCTAAGTGATTCGTGCCATAAACATCTCAGAATGTAATGCTTGACATCATCCACTTCATCCATACCACATAGGCATATTCTAGAAGCGGCAGGGGCACCCAGAAAGCGACCAATACAAACCATTGAAGGTATGGCATGGAACCTTAGGGCAGTAAAAGCCCTTCTCAGCTCCAAAGTAGTTAGTTTCTCAAGATATACAGTCCTACAATGGTCTCTTTTGAAGATCTTATACAAGGGGGCTGTACGGCAACTTACTACCATATGTCGATTCAAAAGCCCATCCTTATTAAATACCCATTCCACCAAGGAATACCAGGGTCATGATGAGGAGGCAGTCAATGGCAAACCACCTCTACGTGTCTCTTGACTTGAAAACCTCATGAGGGGTTGGCATAAGTCAGTTGTGATTCAATGGCAAAAAAGGGGGGGGTTATGTACTTACTGTCTTATACATTAGCTGATAAAAAGGAAGCAGCATGTATTGTATTCATATCAATCACCTATGTGCAACCTTTTTCTGAACCATAAGCACACAGTAGTCACCTTGATTGAAAACAAATCAGCCAGTATCATAATACCCCTGTATAAATCTATGGTATAGCTTCATTTGGAATACTGTGTACAGTTCTGATCACCGTACCTCAGAAAAGATATTATAACATTGGAAAAGGTGCAGAAAAGGATGACTAAAATGATTTAAGGGATGGAACACCTTCCCTATAAAGAAACGTTAAAGAGGTTAGGGCTTTTTAGCTTGGAGGAATGACAGCTGAGGGGTAAACATGATATTTACAAAATAGGACAGAGAAGGTGGAGACAGAAGTACTTAACTCCATTTCTCATAACACAAGAGCTCGTGGGCACTCAATGAAATTTCAATGGCAAACCACCTCTACGTGTCTCTTGACTTGAAAACCTCATGAGGGGTTGGCATAAGTCAGTTGTGATTCAATGGCAAAAAAGGGGGGGGTTATGTACTTACTGTCTTATACATTAGCTGATAAAAAGGAAGCAGCATGTATTGTATTCATATCAATCACCTATGTGCAACCTTTTTCTGAACCATAAGCACACAGTAGTCACCTTGATTGAAAACAAATCAGCCAGTATCATAATACCCCTGTATAAATCTATGGTATAGCTTCATTTGGAATACTGTGTACAGTT